TTACATAAGAGGGAGAACTGAGCTAATTACGCATAAGGCTTCGTTTATGAGTCTCCGGAGATATTATTATCCAACGGAGTTCCTATGGCATGTCTGTATGAGAACGTCAGGACATGTGAGTGAGAACGCTGTACACCGCATGAATAATTTTAGAGCATGATGTCTGAAAATAAAGTGCGAAGTGATACTACCAGTAGACACACCTTGGAAGTCACAGATGCCGAGAGCCGGTGCATCGTCGGGATTCTAACATTCAGCGAGATGTTCGTGACGACCGTGAAGATTGAACCAACAAGGTTTATAAGTCGTAAGTCATGACTTTGATTACTGGCAAATAATTTGAAAACCTCAATAGTTTGATATAGGTACAATGCAATATTCAAAGTGGATCTTAAGGCCAAACAGCCGTTTGTCAGATGGAGAAACATCGAAAGCGGCGCATCGAAACGGTCGCATCTTACCAATCTGATGCCAAGATGAAGAAGAGAAGCCTTCGTAGTTCGGCATTGCAAAGATATGTCCAAATTCAAAAACGAAATAGCAGACGGCACTGACAATCGATTACTATATTTTGAAACTGAATAATCTGAAGAGCTATTGGGGTACTATATGAGGTATTATTCACTCTGTCGCCTGTTCGCGACTCATCTATCAAGGTCATTATATTGACGTCACTCCTCATCAGGCGGAGACACAAATAAGCCAGTTCAAAGATTATTGTTTGAAGCAGGAGTTAAAGCGGTAAATTCTCGTGACAATTGAGAAATTCGGTACTTCCTTCAAAATCACTTAAAACGAGAAATGTAGCCTTACAATAACCCTTGGAAGGTCAATAGTCCTGCTCAACCAATGATCACAAGCTGCTTGTCTAGGGTAAAGAAGCCTGATATTGTTATATTATGAGATCTTGTGTCTTCTTAATATATAGATTCTGGGAACAGGATGCCGATGGGATCTGGAGCTTATAGGACAAGAAGCTCGAATCGAAGCTGATTTCAGTGAGAGGGAATCGTAGATTTTCTATCTAGAATAGTCAAGAAAGAATCTGGTGAGATTTACTGTCCATACAAGCCACAGCGAAAGGAAGTCTCTCTCGGATAAAGGACGGCATTGTTGGATGCCCCAACTGTTGATGGCTTGGCTTCCCTTGGTGAACGTTCTCAAGAGTGTAGATCTTCAGACGTTAGTTCCATTTACATTCCTCTTCGATTTGAACAGCGCATGTGGAGTGGCGTGTAATCATGAGGTATTCACAGAGACGAGGTCATCGGCATGACGAGATGCATCAGGTTGGGGGAGAGAAGAAGTCTGGAATCTACCAGTGTCCAAAGAGGTATTAGCTCGCGAGTTAAGATTCATCGGACAGATGATCCAACACAAAAACGCTGTAGCCTGTGAAATTGCGTTAGTGTAACCGAACGTAGATATATGATATAGAATAGGATTTGTGCTCGCGACAATAACGGCAAAAGGCGAGAGAGAAGACATTCCTTCAAAGTTGTGTCCAAATGGGTTGAACTGTCTAGTAATATTATTCAATCAATCAGACGCAGCAGGGGTGAGATATTGATGCTTGAAACAGCTCATAAGAGAAATCAGACAGGTTTCCTATTAAGGAATGATTAAACAGCTGTATGCGCATACCAGGGGTAATTGGGAGGGTGGGATGATGTGAAAGCAAACGTAGATGTGAGAGACTATCCACGAGGAAGTGAACTCAGAATGCAAACCTTGAGCTTATAATCGCCAATGTGAAACCTGATGGACGCTATGATCGAAGTGTGTGGAAGGAGGAGCCAAGGAAGAGCCGAACTCCACTTTCATATAACTCCAATTCCCATGCACCGACGAGAGGACATGCAGCGTGTGGTTGTGATGTTAATTTTCGGTGGATGATGTAAGTGGATGAGGGAAGAAAGCATGAACGCAAGGACATGGAAAGAAAGAAGAAACAAAAATTAGCACATTCTGGTGTCACAGAACGTTCGGTTATCCAACCATGTCTCAATGTGGGACGATTGTGCATGATGTCAGGACATGAGGCATAGATTCCATACTATCATCAATATAAGGGAGCATTTTCGTTAGTCTTTTCATCTTCGCCTCATTCAGTGAGGAAGAGACAAGAGGGTACAATGAAAACGAGGTAAGTAAGTAGACCTCATTTTACAGACGCATGCAAGGAAGTATCGAAGTCCCGGCGCCATTTTCTGTTCAGTACATATTTGAACTGAAGAACGAAGAGGACGGTTTGAGCGTGTAGATCACGGCAATGCTGGTACAAGTTGAGTATGAAAGAGGGCCTGGGATAGACAAGATGGCCGGTTATTTTTCACAAGGACTAACCCCAATGCCACAGTATTAGTCTCATGATGAGACAAGATGTCGACTCAGGCCCTCGAGTCTTAAGTATCCTTGACTCCAGTCGACGGCTTGGACCACCCAAGCGAGGAAGATTGATGTGGAATGGGCTCACAGAAGAAGTCGGCTGTCAATTGAACCATAAAAGGATTGAGAACGCGGTAAAAACAGAATACGCGTTCGGCCATGATGAGAGGGAGATTCGGGCAGATGGAAGGACTGACAGCTTTAATCTAGTTTCACCATGCTTTAGGACAGAGTAGCGAGCGATGTGGCCTGGACATTGGATTGCTGCACAAAGACTCTACATAGAGCGCGGTTAGATATTTTCCGGAAAAAAGGTGCGCGAAGAGTGGAATTGGCTGAGTTTGAATATGCATTAAGCCTAGTCAGACCTCAAATGTGTTAGATAAAACAGCCTGGAACCCCGGACAAGTGTGGTACAGAGACAGAAGAAATGATTTTGTGATGTCAGCAGAGATCCGTAGAGGGTGACGTCAACAGAGGTGGGATGGACATCATGGAGTTTGTGAGTTATCACAAGGTGCAGGACACAGATACCGAACTCGACCTCTCTCAATGTCAACAAGATTTGGGATATCATTGTCGACCGTGTCTTGTCCTTCAACCACAGTGCCGAACACTCAATGCGGACGTGAACGAAGGGAACTGCGGATACCATAGAAACCTGGTTGTCGATTAAATTCTTATGAACCTGTCTTACTGCGAAGTAGTGCAGTCATCTCGACATCTTTTCGGATGAAATTGATCATCAAACATTGAAAAAGGATTAGATAGAGTCTCAGTGCTTGGGCCATCTTCATCTTGCGACTCTGCCTCTGCCTCAGAATGACCGGTATTTAAGCTGGACCGGCATCGGCTCTATAATTGAAGGAGGACGAACGACGCCCATAGTTACGGCGATATAACCAAAAGTTAGATGCAACAGCAAGGCCAGGATTCAGCATGCAAGCTGCAGCCATGATGGAATCCTTTGGATTGAAACGCGACATCTGCAATCACTCGGTCAGGTCTGGCAGACTTGGATAAAATAAAATAATGGATGACTGATTGTGTAATTTGTATACAGTACAGTTGTTGTGAAAAAATCCCCAATGAGTTCTAGGGCTTCTGAAGATAACGTGGATGTTCAAGCATGTGTCGTCTTAGAGAAGTCTTATACACTTTTTTGCACAATACGCGTTTAACATTTGCAAGGAGAACGTAAAAGGAGAAAATCACTATTGTAGTTTCAAGTTTTGCTTCCGCATATAGGTTTCCCATCGAATAGCCATAGGACGAGGAACCTTAGTTTGGCGCTCACAAGATCCCAAATCAGGGATACTGATAGTCATTGACGGCGGCTGGGGCATCCAGGATGACTGGATAGAGGTCGAGTCACATAGTGAAGGAGTCAAGAACCGAAGGTGATGGATCGCGGCAGAGAAGAAGAAGTCGACTCATTTGAGACTGGAAGCATCAAGTCTGCTCATCATCAGAAGACATTAGCAAACGACAAAGATCAGTTCATATGCACAAATTTTGAATGAGCTCAGGTTGACTATCCCAATGAGAAGACAGGTCATGTCTGCGTACGCCGTAATGACAGACAATCCTTATCGCCGATCTCTGTCCTTCATCGGGGGTACAATTAAGGTGGAAAGAAGGTGTTTGCGTGATGGGTACAGCTGGAAGGTAAGGTACGTGGGTATAGGAAGATTGGAAAGTTCAGCTAGGAGTTAGGAGGATCGCGAGTCGTGTCGATCGTCAAACTTGTTGATAAAAACTTGCTTTCGGTCAAAGTATCCGTCCTCAGAACTAGCAAACCCTACCGCCAGTGGGTCTGGTATCCCTCCAGTTGATATCTCGCACTGTCATCAGCGTCGGAAGAATGAGGGCCCTGTCAGCTCTGTGATCACTAATACACCTCAGGCTAAATCTCACTACTTTGTGCCTCGCCACGCAACGCGTTCCTCAGCGCGCAGAGCTATATGAGATATGTCCAGGCTTGTGAAATGACGACAGTACACGCGTACCTCCTATTCTGGTGCTGGTTCTGTGTGTCGATACGTGTCCCGCGAGAATCTGAAATAATATTTTGACGCAGGAGATTGACCACTGCGAGGCCCACATTAGTTCTCAGATTTTCCCATCATGTGTAGTGTCGCGTCACTTCAGAAAATTGAGGATTATGAGCGCTCTGAGGAGCAAACTATGGTAAGTAATGAGATCATTTTACTGGAAATACCAACAAATCTTCGAGCTTTATCTGATTAAGATGAACTCCTTCCTTGTCGGCTGAAGAAACACAGATGAAAATTGATGGGATTGACCTAGGGTAGATAAGATTGAGATGTGAGCCGCGATGAGAGTTCGAGGGTGAAGGGGTGTACGTACGTGACATAAGATGAATTGAGGTGGGCAGGGCGCGGAAGTGTACTAGAATTGCTCTAAGTGAGGGATTGCATAGTGAATTCAGACTTGGAATGCTGTTGAGTCGAGAGGTACAAGCGGATCGCGAGGAACAGGAATAGGGGTACCATAAGATGGTTTAAGATAGACGCACGTAAGATTAGATTATGAAGATGCTTATTGTATCCCTAGAACTCGGAGGAGAAGTAAAATGATCCAGATGGATATGATGAGAGGGAGATTCGAACTCCCGCCCCCGAAGAGACCAGATTAGGTAGTAGAGAGATTTCACCTTAGTCTGGCGCCTTAGACCGCTCGGCCATCTCACCATTACTGAAGGGTACAAAGGGATACACTGGTAGGGCCGCTATAAGCTGTGGGATTTTGGAGATGTGTGTGATAGTGCAATTGACCTAAGCGAGCGTGTTGAAGAGTAGGTGGATTACTTGCGTTTGTGTTGAATCTAGATAGAGAATGCTGTCGAGTCGGGAGTTGGCGGCGCACCTGGAACGAAGTCTGGATAAGATGGGTCTCAGATAGACGCGGGTGAGATAAGATTAGATACATAGTCATTCTAACCGCGCAAGGCAAAAGTCCGCTGCAGTGTAAATGGTGAGAGGGAGGAGAGAAATTTGAACTCCAGCGGAATTTTTTTTGAACATACTTCTTGGTATGTGCACCTGAGTCGGGCGCCCTGAACTGCTCGGCCATGTCATCAGTAGACGTGAGGTGGGAGAGGATACGGACTGGAACTGCCTTGAATGTGGTAGCTGTACGCGGAAGTCGAGTAGAGTTGCTGGTGTGGATAGGAGGCGTAGCTGTGTTGCGCTGGAATGAAGTGCGAGCAGGCTTGTAGGAACAGGAATTCGGGATGCGTAGCGTGGTGTGGAGTCATAGTGCACAGTAATATAGGTAGGCGGTCGCTCCTAAAAACGCATTATAAAATGATCAAACATGGGAAGATGCACTGGCAGGGAGGAAAGAAGAGAAAAAGAGATAAAGAGAATTCCATATGATGAGAGGGAGATTCGAACTCCCGCCCCCGAAGAGACCAGATTAGGCAGTAATGAAGATATTACTGAACCTTAGTCTGGCGCCTTAGACCGCTCGGCCATCTCACCAATGGTTAAGGTGAGTAAATGGCGGTACAGCTCACGGACGGTGACTTACATGGATAGTGTAGCTGTACACGCGGAAGCCATGAAACAGATACGGAGGCTGGGTAGCTGTAGGTGTACGCTGGAGTGTAAAGAGAATTGTTGGAGTGAACGTGTCGGATTGTGTTCGAGACGTTTGAATTGCATTCATGTAGTGGTATAGGACATTGCACGGTGACTTACTTGGATAGCGTAATTAGAATTGCTAGAATGAACGTGTCGGATTGTGTTCGAGACGTTTGAATTGCGCTCGTGTGGGAGCTGTATTTTTTATGAGCATCACGCTGGAACGAAGTGGTGAGAGGGGATGGGCGTGCGAAAGATCGATAGACGTGGTAGATAGTCTAGAAACGTATGATAGCAGATCAAACACGGGAAACTCACGAAAACAAAAAAGGGACGCACTGCCGTGGATGAAATGAGAAGGAACGAGGCAAAAACCAGGGCTCGACACATATGATGAGAGGGAGATTCGAACTCCCGCCCCCGAAGAGACCAGATGAAGGTTGCTGTTGATCGACAATGATTCAGGTGCACCTTAGTCTGGCGCCTTGGACCGCTCGGCCATCTCACCATTGGCTGGTTATGGTGCAAGTGGGTGAGGATACGGAGTACGAGTGCCTTGGATGCAGAGGGTGGAATTGCTGGAGTGAACGTGTGGAATAAGAGTAGGAATGTTCGTAGTTTCGGGTTGCATTGGCTGAAGGAATGCGTAGGATTGCTTATAGTTTCGCGTCGGATGGGGTTGTTGTTGAGGTTGTTTTGGTTTGGAGTGGTGAGCATCGAAAAAGTTTGGATTCAAACGCACACAAAAGAGATCATGTATGATGAGAGGGAGATTCGAACTCCCGCCCCCGAAGAGACCAGATTATTTGACGTACTTAATCAACACCTTAGTCTGGCGCCTTAGACCGCTCGGCCATCTCACCATTGCTCTGTATGTATGGTGCAGCACTGGGACCTCGAGGGTAGCGGCGATTTAGACGGAACGTGTAATTGATCAGAGTGTTCGTTCAGACGTGGTGGTGTATTTGGAATGCTTGGATTACGAATGACTGGCTGCGGTTGAATTGATTCCGTAATTGTTGCTGTCTCGGTGCTCCTGGCAGCGTCTGTATCCGTCTCGGTGTTCCGGCGCCCGCAACGCTTTTCCGGCTCCAAATGTAGAAGGCTGATCGGGAGGTTGACTGTATACCAGAGCTCGACAGTCGAATTGTGCTGTTGGCATGATCGGAGAATTTGGCTCCGCGGATTGCGTTTTCTAACAGCTGTATTGATGATCAGCGGATGTATCAGTATGAGGAGTGAGTCAAGTTACGTATGTGGGGGTGTTAGTGTTTTAGTGCGGTGCAGAAGGGGAGGGGGTGATTGATCACGCACGTATCATGTACTGGCATGATCATTTTGGAGGTAAGTTGTCCACGGCAATCATGATTCGTGGGGTACTCGCTTATAGGGGTGATGCGTATGGAACGTCTGTGGTGACGTGAATACGTTGAGTTTGAGGGCGCCAGAGAAAGTGTTGACTTTGGAGCTGGAGAATGGAGTGCCGGTTGTGGGTTGATGGGAGTGGGTGGCGTGAGGAAAGGAACATGTGACAGGCTGCAGAACACAGAGCTATGAAGATGGATCAAGGAGTCTCCCAGCCGCAGGCCATTGTTCCGGGCACAGCAGTGTTCAGTATAAAGGTCGACGGTCTGGCGTCTATAAATAACCTGATTGAATTCTCACGACGGTCAGCCTCTTTCCTGCTCTTTGTCCTTCTTCCACAATCTTCACCGCCGTGGCGCAATGCCGCGTTCTCCCACGCCTTCTCCGCTGCCCACCACCCGCACCCGCCGCACGTCCTCCGTCTCGTCCCCGCTCAACCCCAACGCCACAGCCAACAGCTCCCCGCGCTCCTCTGCCTCCTCCACCCCCATCCTCGCTCCCCGGCCCCTCCCTTCTCCAGCCCAGGACCTCTTTGCCCGCCCCAGAGGCCACACAACCTCTGCCATCGCTGTACGCCCCCCGCCTAGCCCGTCGTCTGGCACAGGCACACTCGCGTCCCCGCTCAGCCGCGTCGTGTCCGAATCCAGCGTTCCCCTCGCCGAAACCCCAAGTGGCTTCTCTGTCTTTGGTATCTCGGTAGGTGGCGTTGCGAGGAAGAGGAGGGACAGTGTCGAGGGCAGGCGCAATGGCATCGCGACGCCCCCCATGGGCAGCCCGGCGACGTGGTGGGGAGGCAGGGAGGAGCAGTTGGAGGACCATAGGCCTTGGCGAGATCCGCCTAGGAGGAAGAAGACCGTCCCTCAGGAACAGACAGAGGGCTGGGTCCATACCCGCGACGTGAGTACACGGTTGTTCGTTTGCCATGCACAACTCATCCATCCCAACAGAGGGTCAGTAAAGCTGCCGCGTCAGTCCTAGGTACGGCTACGGACGTCGCACATGAGATCTTGTTCACAGGTGTCACCGTCCTTGATTGTGTTCCAGTGCCAGGTCTTGCGCCCGCCGCTCGTGTTCTTTTGCAGATCTGGGACGCGTTGCAGTCCGTCGATGTGCGTGTATATTCTTTTCCTCTTTCTCTTCACTGACGACCTTACAGACAAATCGACTGCAGTGTCTCCGGCTTACGCAGCGCTGCGCCGATATCCTTCTCTCTGTTCGCGAAGAAGTCAAAGAAGCAGGCGACCAAGTCGACGAAGAGCTTCAAGCACCCATTACCAAGCTTACAGAGTACGTATTCATCTTGTTCACGCCTCCACCATCTAACCCCCCCTTAGATCATTCCAAACCGTCGAATCTTTCCTCCTCAAACAGATCCACCGTCCCTTCCTCAAGCGCTACCTCAAGCGCGACGAGATCCAAGCACAAATCCGCTCATGCGACGCCCAGCTCACAGAGGCCCTCAGTATGCTCGGTCTTAGTATCCAAATCAGGATCTTGAGGAGCGTCCAGGACGTTGAGAGGGAACGTAGGGAGGATCAAAGAGTTTTGGTCAATATTTTGAGGGGGGAGAACGGAGGGGTGGGTCTTGGGTTGACTGGCATCGACACGCAGGCGCCGGGGATGGGAGTGAGTGAGAGTGCGATTACTGTTAGGCCGGAGCATGCGACGCCTACGAAGGAGCTTGCGATGCCTACGATTTCCGATCCGTCGCCCGCTGACAATACACAGGTCCTGCCTACGCTCAAGACTGTCCAGGCCTCGCAGGACGCGCAGGATCAGGAAAATGACAATGAGGATACCCGGGCGTTGATGCGTGCTGCGCTTAGGGCGGGGAGCGATGCTGAGATGCTGAGGGTCCTGCAGATTGGGAGGGAGGAGATGCCGGAGGCTATCAAGACGCTTCAGAGGGCGTTGGAGCGCGTCGGCGGCGTCGGTCTGGAGGTTGGGAAGGAAGAGGGGAAGAAGAAGTGGGGGATGGGCAAGTGTGTGTCCGTGTCCACTGCCAAGACGAGCACAGGCACCGAGGCGTCCTCTGATACGCTCGATCGGGAGTTTATAGAGTCGGGCATTGATGCGCTCAGGCGTATGTCGCGTGGTGCGGGCGTTGCTACGTCTTCCCTTCCTCCCTGGACGATCACGCGGTATGAGGTCGATCGCGAGCAGAAGATTGGTGTTGGCTTTTTTTCGGACGTGTATCGCGGGACGTGGCGCGGGAGGACAGTGGCGATCAAGGTGCTTGCGCCGACGACCCCGAGGGAGCTGTTTGTTAGGGAGGTGCAGGTGTGGAGGGGGCTTAGGCACCCGAGTGTCTTGCAGCTTTATGGAGCGAGTAGTGCGTGTGGGGAGAGACCTTGGTTTTTTGTCTGTGCGTATATGAGGCGGGGGAGTTTGGTGGAGTTTTTGAAGAGGGTAGAGAGGGGTGTTGAGGGCGGGATGGAGGGTGCGAGGGTGGTGTTTCCGATTTGGGAGGAGGGGCAGATGGCCGTTGGTGGGCATCCGAAGAAGAGTCACCAGGAGGGCGAGTTGTTCAGGTTCATGCTGGAGATTGCGCAGGGGATGGAGTATCTTCATGCCAATGGCGTGCTGCACGGCGATCTCAAGGCGGCCAATGTCCTCGTTGACGACGATGTCCATTGTGTTATTTCGGATTTTGGACAGAGCGAGATGAAGTCGGAGGCGTATAGGATTAGTGGGGCGGCCCCGCCTCGTATGTATCCTTGTCTTTATGGCTGCAGGTGTTG